AAAGTTATAATGTCTCGTATTTTAACTGGGCATTTGTGTGCGAGACAAATATAATTTAGATTTAAATAGGATTTAAAGTATGAATATAAGATATAAGTTCAGCGTTTTTCATAGAAGAAAATTTTAGGCAAAGAAGAAATTTCTAAATTGAACTCATTTCCAATTTTATTCTCAAAATTCGACCCATTTCAAACTTTACTACCAAAATCGACAAATTTTCTCGTCACGTCAACCTCGTGGTCAGAAACTGGGTTGATTTAAAAAAAATCGCGCTCCTAACCCGCTACGCTGTTGTAATTTGGCAACTAAACAAGTCGGGGTTCGAAACCCCGACTAATTTAGCGTGTGCTAAATTTGTCTGGGTTGGGAACCCCGACCATTTAGCAGAGAGTGGCCCAACCTACACCAGAAATGGTCGGGGTTCCCTACCCTGATCATTTTGCAAAGACCCTCCAGCCCATACTCTGCTAGAAAAACTCTCCTATGTTAATACATATCAATTCACAAGTTTAACACCAACTCTCTTGCTATGCATTTATCAATCTTAATCAATTTCAAACACAAATAAACACATATCTTTATATAATCATTACATCTATACCATCTATTTAACAAAAATGTAACATTCAATTCACTTTCTAAAAATCCAACCATAATCAAGTCACAGTAGCATTTCAAACGTAAACATCATAGCATTTCAAACATAAACATCGTATGAAGTATATCGAAATTTAACAAATATTTAGAACTCCATTTCCTCTCCCTCTCCCTCTCCTTCTCCCTCTTCTTCCTCTCCCCCTTTCATGTTCACCTTCATCATGAGCTCGGATGATCTCAACGTCCGGTTGTGTGTGAACTTGTGAGCGCATGACATCCTTGTCGACTTGAACCTTCTGCGAACATCCAGCTTGAGCTTCCTGTGAGCCTCTAGCTTCATCATTATATGATGTCTAAAAATTACTGTAAATAGCTGATCCCATCAATACCAATGATGGAAGTTACAATTTGACGGCTTCCAGAAGGCTACAATTAAAAAACTTTCACGTAGATCAGTGATTGTTACAATCTGACGACCTTCACAACAACCGATGAAAGCTCTAATTCAACAGCCTTCATAATCAACACTAGGAGTTACAATCTGATGATTCTCATATATTTAAAGAGCCGAGACAAAGGTTACAATATGACGATCTTTGCAACGCTCTAGTAAAAGAGACTACAAATTGACAGTATCTCTAAATCAAAACGCAGATATCTCTTAAATAGTAAGGAATTTGGCGAAACGGATAAGAGCAAACCAAACCCATTGGGTTGGTTTGGTCGGCTCTGTCTCATTGAGATAGTCAATTTTCATATATAATTCTTCCAATTCTGATTTACGGTTTGAAAGTTATGACTTGTTCTTCGTAGCAAGTTATGTTCTGAAGTCCGTCTGCAAGACTGGACTTCGCTTGAACATTGGACTTAGCCTAAAGCTCGCCAAGCCCGCCGGAGACTCGCCTCTACGTTCCAGAGTCAAAACGCAGAGTTCATCTCTGCGTCCCAACAACAAAATGCAGAGTTCGTGGCTGCGTTCTAGACTCAAAACGCAGAGTTCATGGCTACGTTCCAGACTCAAAACGCAGAGTTTGTGGCTGCATTTTCAGGCTCAAATACAGAGCCTAACTCTGCGTCCCAGGTCCAGAACGCATAATTCGTGCCCAGAACGCAATTCTTGCGTTTGACTTATTCAAACATGAGCTGAACGATTTTAAAATCATTTTCCACGATTTGAGGGGATCACTCTCCCACTTAGGAGTAAATTAAGGGGGCAGTTACACCCCTTAATCCCCTATAAATATCAGCAAACTCAACTGAGTTCAGGGGGAGGTCTTCGATTATCTTGGAGCTTCGGCAATCTTGAGCGATCATCCTTAGAGATTCTAAAGCTTTGGAGCAACTTCTTATCTATAAACCGATTTTCGGTTAAATCAATTAACTATTTTATAGAGTTTTGAACATGCTCTGAGTTCTTAAACTCGTTAAGAGTTATTCTTAAACTTGCCACGAAAGTTCTTCTCCTCAACGTCCAACGAAGAGGAATCAACCTTGTTCCATTAAGCAACACGTTCGGATCGTCAACGGGAAGCAAGCTTGACACGAACATCGAGAGAGGCATTCCATCGACATAAAAAAGATCCCAGTTTTAAACAAAGGAAAGGATCTCTGTCAATTCCTTCTCTCTTTTGTAAATCAGGAAACCGACCGAGAAGATTTGTAATTTCTTTTTCCAAGTTTGTTAGAGAGAGATTGCATTAAAATAATTGTAATTAATTATTTTTTGAGCATGTCAGAGAGAATAATACAAATTTATTTTCTCATTTTCTTCTTAAATTTTCCCACCAAACAATCATGTGCACGACTTGAGCCTACTCTCATGTGTCCTCAAACCTGTCGACGCTTGTACCCTATGAGACGTTGCTCACGTCCATCGCGTTTCACATTACGCGTCCTCCTAAGAACGGGCTGAATCTTTCCTATGATACGAACAATCGCGTTCTTTGCCCTTGGCTCGGTAGTCGTTCTCAATGCATTATGTGTAATAAAAGCAACCTCATCGAGTTCTTGTACCTATAAGATAAAAAACGAAAGAGGATTATTAGCAAGTGAATGATAATAAAATAATAATCACAAAATAATTGTATATTTTGCTTATGCACTTACCAACTCTCTCTCTGCTGGACCTCTCGGTATGTACTCCTTACGTGCTTTGTTCTCCCGAAATATCCATCGGCGAGTAATCCCCCAATACCACGGTAAGCACACATCTAGGTCAGGTGCGTCCACCCTCTCCATCACTACAGCCTCCTCCCTCAACTCCTAATTTTGAATGCAAGCATGGCGAATTATCTCCCAATTTGCATGATGTGCTCCTTTTCGGAGATTTCACTCTATTCTTTCTACAGGATCTAAAATATATTATTTTAATCTAAATTGTCAGAGCACACGGTCAGACACGTGCATTTCGACAATCTCAAAACATATAATCAGGACTCGAGCACGCCATATATCTTCCCATTCTCTGTAAATATCTGATTGTGAATCTAAAACCAGTTCATAGGGCATCTACTTGACCTATAAAGTAGATTAAGTAAATTTACATATCGGTAACAATGATGTATTGATTGAATATATTTAGATATTATGATTTTATAGTTGTCCATCCTCCATTTGATCAAGCTCGTTCCTCTAGAAGTTTTCGTGACACTTTAGGGAGGTTTGCCAAGATCTGGAAACATTCCATCTATTTGATATACAAAGGGTTAGTATAGATTGAAATAAATATATAAAATTACATGTAATCATATCTATTAAAAGCTAATATACCTGCATCCTAATAAAATCTGGCCATCAAGAGCGCGAGTCTCCCTCAAATCTGGTGTTCCCAAATGCAATCACTCCCATGACCATATCTACAAACAAAGTGAGGCAACCTTGAATTCTTTATTTTGCACGAGTGCCACTTTTATCATCTCCCTATACAGATAAGCTAACACTGCACTCCCTCAGGATAACTCTCCACACTCCTCAAGATCCTCAAGAAGTGGAAACCATCTCACATGCACTGAATCCTTAATGGAATCCGGAAATAGAACAGTACCTATCATATGGAGTATATACGCACGGGCATGGCTCCTGATGATCTCATCAATCGCATCGATTGTTACATTCATATAATTATTCTGTCATCATTCGAGCTTGATCTTACCACCCATCATAGTAGGAGCTTGACCCAGCAATTGTTCACACACTCCTATCCAGTTGAAGTCATCGGTACCCGTAACAACATCTCCATCCACTTTGAGGCCAAGTAAAACCCCAACATTCTACAATCTAATTGTCAACTCTTCTTGACGCATGTGAAATGTATTTGTCACGGGCCTCCACCGTTCAATCAATGCCATTAAGAGAGCCTAATCAAGTCCTACCTATTTTATTTGTGAATACTCAGAAAAGCCTGCTTGACGAACATAATATTGGACTTGTGGATTCGTCAAATCCTAACTCGAATGTGCACGAGTATGATCAATAATAGTAATACTCGGGCCTGTATATATTAAACAATGTAAATGTTCAGTAACAATCAAGAATATTGAAAAATTGAAATGATTGAAAATAATAAAAATGTAATTTACCTCCCCGAGTCTATCTTCGCGGATTATGTTGATCTTGGTCATAAAGGACCTCATATGTCAATGGACCCACCTCCATACTGTAAATATCTGCACATATGATGATAAAATATGTCAATATTATGACGTATGCTAAATTAGAAGTATAATAAAATTACAGATTTTATATATAAGCATTGACTTACAAAGGAAGTAGAACAAAATTATTAATTAAATAAATTGTACTCATTAATTGCTATCTATTTGGATTGGTAGGACAATGAGATTTATTATGGCCCGTCTGCAATATCCACATCTATTTTTTTGGAGCTCATTCCTATCCTTCATCCATCATACCTTTTATGTACTA